AGTTATATTATCAAAAAAGACATTCATGTGACACAATCCATCTCTGACAGAACAGAACACTGTTTGTGTGCTGCTTTCTATTCACCTTCATCTCCTCAACAGACCTCCCCACACCATCACCAAGTAAAGCATTAGAACTCAAAATCAAGAGGCTGGTAAAATTCCCAGATGATGTTTTCTACAACTTTCTGAGCCTGGATGTGAACAGAAAAACCAAACTGCTACTCCAGCACTGCAGTAAACTGTGCTGGGAACAGCTTTAATTGCCCTTTTCACGTTGGGTGTAATGAAAATCTTTGCTGTTTAAAAAAGAACTGGCAGAATCAACACTACAGTCAATATCTTCCAACTCAAATGAAAATTAAACAGCTTTTACTGTCATCCCTTTACAGAAGTGTTCTGTTTCTATATATTAAATTTCAGACAGGAATGCACTAACACCAATAACTACATTTTTTCCCTTTTACCAACTTCAGTATAGAAACGAGCTTTCTATCATGTTTCCTCTGAATCAGATGAAAAAAATAATTTATTTGTTTTCTACAGGAAGTAGAAGCTTTTTCAATTGTACCAAAAATCCTCAACTTAATCTATGAGCATTATCATCAGGCTTACCCACCCAGTTCCTCTCACCACAAATGTATTTATTGGACTGAATTTTACATCAGCATATACTTAAAGAAAACAGTTCCTCAAGTAACAGTTTGTGATCTAATAAATAATGAATGTACTCTAACAGGACCAACTCCATAATGAACTGTTTGCCAGCATCTCTAGAAATGGAGTAATAGTTCAGTCTTCCAACTATTTCTTGCTTAGTCTTGAAGCCACTGAACCTCACTCCTGCTAATGCACCTCTGTCAATTCCTGAACGACAGCATGAGGCCTCAGAGCAGATCAAGACTTCATCCAAAACCTGCATCAGAGGTGCTGTTTCAGAGACTGCTCAGGTGTTAAAAGTGCATCTCTAATAGAGAGAGGCACAGCATGGACATGCATGAGTTGGCTCCTCAGCAGGGAGTTTAAATAAATAGTTCTACACAGAGCTTTGATACCATAAATTAACTAGTCTAACACAGAATGGCCATTTGTAACAGTGTCCTAAGCCCTATACCAGTGGGGTTTTCTGCAGCTAAGAGTGTGTGTGTATTAAGAAAAACAACATTATGTAATAGAAAAATTCACTCAGAAAGAATACTAAAACTTAATTTGGTGTCTCCCCAGGATTTTTCAGTCCCAATCAAGAAACTGATAAATTAATCACTGCTACGGTTTTGAGATGAACTTTATAGTACCAACCTCTCTTCTCTTTTAGAGCTACTGTTCACAGACATCTTGCTGCTTCTGCTACTCTGGGACTAAGTTACTGTGTATTTTCCTTCACTGAGCAGCTGTAGAAAAGATAAGGAAGAGATCATCAATTTTCACAAGGATAGAATCCACCAGCAGATTCCCCAGGTGCTGAACCTGATTTGGAAGGATTATTTAGGAAGATGACAAAGTATGTTGATGGCACACATTCATTTAGGATAATCAAAATGGCTCCAGAATGATTTCAAGTTACTTAGCAAATAGGCAATAGCACCATGAGTGAAACTCCAACCATGAAAGAGGCAGACAAGTACCACCAATCAGAAAAGAAGTTTTGGAGTCCCTGAGTTTAACTCCCAAGTAAGAGCATCAGCTTTGTGTTGAACAGCAGATTAAGAAATACAAAATAGAAATCATGAAAGTATATTAACTAAGAATCAGAGTTATTAGCGCCAAAGGGCTGGCACCAGAAATTAACACAGTAGGACAGGAAAAGTGAAGTTCAATAATGATACTGAGAATCATACAAGAGTTTCAATAAGAAAAGCTAAAGAAAGTTCAGGTTCCTAGAGGTGGGGAAAAGGAAACATCTGACAGGATCAAAAATACAAAAAAATCCCAGAAGAAATCAGTAAGGACTTTGCTCTCACCATTTCACAACTCCTCACAAAAGACACACAGAGCCCAGTGGGAATATCAGACTGTCCTGGAAATTGACTGAGAGAGACTGAGCAGTACAGAGATTAAAAAAAGCAGCTCCTATAGCTGGATCTTACCTCACCTACCCATCACCCACATCCACAATTCAAGGAATACATTAAGTACAGCATTATTAATATACATTGAGAACAGGGAGGCAGATTCAAGAGCACAGGTATCACTGTAAGGTCAGATTGTGAGTGCCTAATTTAGATGGTTCAGGGAAGCAGAGATAGCAAGGGATGTATTTAACACCACTCTGGAATATGATGCTGGAGCTTCCTGAAAGACACAGCAGAGAGCTGCAAACACATCCCTGCCATGCTCAGACAGCTGTTACAGCTGAAATCCATGGTATTTCTTACAACTGTGATTAAATGTGCAGCTCCTGCCTGTCTCCATGGAGACTGATGTTGGCTCAGCAAAAAGTCACCAAGTGCTTTAAAATAATTCCTCTTCGTTTTGAAATTTCAAAGCACTTAACTTGTTTTTGCCTATCAGATGTTATTTTCCCAACTAAAACTGCAGCAGGAAAAGCAACCAAAAGCACTAGTAAAACTACAAAAATATTTTTAAAGCTCATTTCACATGCAGCTGGAAATTAAACACCAAAACATACATTAAAAAAAAGAGAAAGGAATCTCCAAAACTAGAAATCGAGCAGTCACTTGCACAGTCTTCACATTATGTGTACTTGTGCACCAAGTAATTTATATTTAGCTGCAGAAGAATCCTTTTGGGGATGATTCAGTGAAGTATTCTGTGCTTTGGCTTAATTAACTCTTGCCCTTTTTATCTGAAGGCTATTCCTTTTGGGAAGTACCTTTTCTGACACAGCCTTAATTGTCTAGTGTCAGGACAATAACTACAACAGTCCTTAAGCAACAGCATCTTTAAGAATCTCCCTCCTCCATCCAGTTTTGGTTTTCCTTTAAGGAAACAGAAGGTAATTCACTATAGCAGACAACAGCAAATTCTATCTTGCACAAAAAGAAACTTGAATCAAAGTTTCCCAAACACACAAACAGCAGCTGAGAACGAGTGCAATTATAAAGCTTTTTAAAGCTTTTAAAGCTTATAAAGCTTTTTTTTTTTAATATTTCTTCAAATATATGGGGAGTTTACTGGTATAAATATTACAGTGTTTACAAAGCGTCCACAAATAAACAGGTAAATACTGTTGACAGTCTCAATTTAGCATAGTATTTTTTAAACCTTAAGTGTGGCCATAAACTTATATTAGCACAAAAGGTTGTTTTTGTATATATATATATATTTATATATATATATACACACACACCCAAACACCTCTTCTACCAGAAAGTCTTCAACTTTACCTCAAATAATTTGCACTTCTGTGTTGATAAATATTCCAAAACAATTTCAGCTAATGAACTGACTTTAAAAACTCTTTGAGATCACACTCTGCAAAAAGCAATTAAAAGAGGTTACACAGGGTTGGTTTGGTATTTTCAGTTTTCAAAGAATGGCTGAGGTTGGCAGGGACCTCTGAGGTCACCTTGTCCAGCTCCTGCTCCAGCACGAGCCATCCAGAACATCCAGGCTCCCCAGAGCCATGTCCACAGAGATTGTGAATATATCTGGGGACAGACAGACCCTCCCCAACCTCTCAGGACAACTTGCTCCAGTCCTCGGTGACCCTCACAATCAGGTGATAATCAGACAGAACCTCCTGTATTTCACTTTGTCCTCCCTGCCTCTTGGACACCACTGGAAAGAGCCCAAGACATGTTTTTTAAGCCCTCTTTCAGACATTTGTACCCACTCATGAGGTTCCCTGAGCCTCTTCTGTAAGCTCAGCAGTCCCAGGGCTTTCAGTCATACCATGATGGAATTTTCAGTACTGTTTTCCAGTATTCTATTTTTCAAGACATTTACAAACTTAAACTATACCACTACTGAGCCTCATCTTTTTCAACACATATGGAGGAAGAAACTATAATGATCTGCTGGTTTAAATCATCTTTTCCATAAATAGTCAACTTACACACCCGTTTCTTAAGCACAGGAGTACACAGCACTGTTGGCCTTCTGGAGCTTCTCTGTCTTCATGGAAAATAAAGACAGTTTGTTTCATAAGCACTTAGGATAAATTAAATTACGAATGGTGGCCATGTTGGTCAAGAGGAAATTTATGGGATGAAAAAATGCCTTTTTTCCTGTTTCTTACATCACTTCATCAAGAATGTATTTTGATTTGGAGAAAAATTATACCCGTCCATTTTAAAACAGAATTTCAACATAGACTATAGATCAGGATTTTGCATTATAACTCAAATATGTTCTGAACTGAGCAATAGGTAATTTGAAACAAAACCAAAGGCTTTTGGTTTTGAACATGAAATAGCACCAAAGCTGACAGAAGAATTGGCTGGCCTTGAAACCAGCATTATTTGAGACCGTTGAGGGAAAGGTACTCCATATAAATTAAACTGTTTTCTTATAACTTTGGTTACTGACCCTAATAGAAACAAGACGCCAACAGAGAAAAATGAAGAAACCTCTCCCGCCCCCAAACTTCAGCAGTTTAAATAATTCTGATTGCTACTTGATTAGCCTTCTTTGTGATACAAATGATGGGTGTTTTCCTCAGCAAGAAAAGAAGTGAACATGACCTCCTGAAAAAAATGTTTACTGAAATAAATGTTCTAGTTCCAGGCATCAAACCCACCATTTTTAACACTTAGGAAAAAAAACCCCAAAACTCTGCCTCCTCGCATTTTTATACATGACATTAATTCATAAATACCAAGATACTAAGGAAATTTTAAGTTGTGAAGATAAACTTAACAGTGATGCAACGGAAGTTTAAGCACCAAGTTTAGAATAATGCCACTAAACTAACCCAAACCACAAATAAAATTATCTCTCTGCCCAATGAGCTAACTACAAGAAAATATCACTTTACTGGCCTGGAATGAACAGGGATTACACAGAGGATGATGAGGACCACTGGGATGAGAACTCACCTAAATTGTGTCGCTTTGTCTTCGCGTGCTCGTGAATATGTTTCTTTGTAAAACAGCCAAAGAAGACACAGTAGAGGCAAGAGTGGAGTCTGTTCAGGTGGGCACCACACATATGACAAATGCACGACTTTGCCTGAAACAGCAAAACAGACAGAGATTGTGAGTGACAGAAACACGTCCCCAAGCCCAGGTAACCGGGTGCAGCTCTCATGGCCGCCCTTCCCTTTCACTGGGTGCCTCTGGTGTTCTGCAGCACAAAACAGCAGGGAAAATGTTCTGTCCTCATGTGAAAAAAACACCAGCTGGACATAACAGAGAAAACTTGTCCATTTGTCCAACAGATTTCCTATCAGGAAGCAGGTCTCACGATTCAGATGAACACCAGAACCCAGGGAAAGCAGCTGCCCAGCAGAGAGGTTAAGTGGTGAAGAGGCAGGAGTTTTGGTGGCGGGACCACAGCAAGAACTCTGCTTTTTCACAGCACCAACTTCATTGATGCACTCAAAAGCTGTAATATAACTTGAACATTAAAATGTGTGGGGGTATGATATTTCATTTTTCTGCTGGAAGATTCTGCCAGATTCCCTCATTATATTTTTGTACATTAGTCCACAAAACCGTGGCGCAGTATCAAATCCATACTAGCCAGAGTTACAGAAGTTGCCTTTGCCATTCTGAGACTGGCTTTGAACCAGGAGCTGAGCAATCGGCTGAACTATTCCCTAAAACTACCCAGAATGGGCAGGTCTGAGGAAAGTTGCCTCAATTCATTGGAAATTAATAAATACACACCCCTGATATGACAGTCTATGATAGCAATACGTTTTAACAAGTGAGGCTTAAGGACCAAAAAAAGTCATTGGAAGGTTAAACAGACTTTTTGATTCAATCATATTTGAAGCACTCTAAGCCAACAGCATCCAAACCCACGTCTTAGTGTTAAACTAAATGACTTCAATTTTTTTTAATTTACTTTGTCTAATAAGAGACCTAAGAGAGCTTTGAGAGTAAGTCTTTTGCCCAACCACATTGAAAGTAATTTAGGTTCAATACCATCTGACTGGAAGTTACAGACAGGAGAAATTCCTTGCATTAAATTCACTTTTCATCTCAGAACTGCGTTCAGACCTATGTCTAAGGGCAACTGAATTTCTGTAACAGCTGAGAGCTACAAAGAACACTTGGAGGTATGTCTGGTTTTACAGCCTAATCTGAAAATACTATTTCTTTGCTTGTCAACGTAGAAGGATCCTTTTCTCTTCATACTAAAAAAAAAAAAATTTGGATTACTAAAATTGTAAGATACCATCTAACCCAGGCAGTGCATTTCATCAAAAACAACCCACAAAATTCTTCAGTAATATTTACCCAGTCTGCCATGACTTAAAATTACTGTTGAATAAATGATGCACAATCTTGTTCTCTAGTCTGGCATTTTTCTCTCAGAATACTTTTGGCTTTTTTAAAAAAATCATCAAAACAGCTTGCAATATGTTGCACCATGTAATTTATTTTCAAGCTCCTACAAATTAAGACTTAAATTCTGAATCTCACATGTTGTGTATTCAAAGTTATCATAAGTTGTTAGGGGAAAATGTTGAATCGAACTCCACACACCTACAGAAAGAAATATTTTAAAGTTGGGCCAAAAAAAATTCACCACCACCAGCACAATTTCCATCTTTAGAAAAATGCTGCAGAACTGTCAAACTGTTGCCTAACGGCCGCTTGTTGGCTGCAAAAGCTAAATAGGATCAGCCTATCTGTTAAGATTGCTGCTATGACAACAACTCCAGCAACCAGCTATTTTACTGAGCCAGCTAAAAATAAATCTTTTAGCATTAAATGTATTGTAAACACATGACATAACAAGCATGTAAAAGCTGGTCATTTTAGGCTGAAAGGCAGAAAATTCGCATCTTAAAGAGTTTTTATTGCAGTGGAGATTAAGAGATGAAGAATGTATAAGAAATTTAGTGGTAAGTTGAAAGAAAAGTTCAATCATGTCTTGAAAGGAAGCTATTTTATCCACATCCTCCTATATGCTCAGTATAGCTCAAGAAGTTGTAAAAAAACAAGGTTAAGAGACAGAATGCAGAAAGAAATCAATATCAAAAACCATAGTGGCTATTCTAAACCAGATTAGCTGTCTCCTTTTCATCTGTCTGTGCTTTTAAACAATTTGCTAAGTTAAAACAAAGCTTCCACCCTCCTACCCCACCCCAAATAATCAAATTACTTTGTTTCATAATACTCCCACCCCTGCTCGTATCTCTTGAGGCTACATCCTAAGATGAAACAGAATACTGCAAATGAGTAATGAGAATCAGTTGGATCCATACAGTCTCCAGCTTGTTTTAAAACAGGATTCAACTTTTTAAAAAAGCAAAGGTCTTGCTTATGATCTGGATACTTCAGGGAACTCAACCAGGATTTCAGCTATCAATCAACCTATCACTTCTCCTCCAAGATACAGGAACATCTCTTCCTTATCCATGACAAAGAGTTTTCCCCTTCCTTCACACCCTCTCCCAGTATTATGCTGCTCCCTCCTCATTTTATTCTGCTCCCTTTCTGCTTCTCTCCTGTATTATCCTCACCCTCAAGTACCCCACTCTACATCTTTCACCTCCATACACAATCCCTTGTCCTCACATCCACAGCCAGTCTTCCTTCAATCCATACCAAACCTCTGTCTGTCCCCTTTACTTCTGCTCAGATATTCCAACAAACCACACACAGAAACCAGAAGAGACCTTGAATCTCCTTCTGGAAGATTATAATCAGTTTTTTAAATGATAGAAAAGAATGGTCCTGCACAATATAAATATGTGTGTATGCACATAGAGAGAGTTACTGATAGTTCTGACAGCATCTCAATTCCCTCTGCAGTTTCACCCTCTACTGATGTCCTGTATTGCTGCCAGGGCTGGGGTAACTCACAGGTCCAGACCCCAGCATGGTTTTGTACCCTCTATAGAGGAGGTTTAGGCCAGCAAAAGAAGGTGCAAACATCAGCACATCACACACACACAGGGGAACTGGCTGTGGTCACCTGTAAGACAAGTCAAGAGTGCACCTCTAAAACACTGCTCTCAATGCTCATGATACAAAATGAGTTTAAAAAGAAAGAAGCAGGCATCACTAAGTCAAAACCTAGAGTGCTGACACTCCAAATCTTCCCAAATTGTCAGAACAGCTTATTGCTAGTTTACCATCAAACCATCAGAACAGCAGTGGAGAAAGTGAACACATCCACTGAGGTTCTGCCCTTGCACTTCTCAGTCTGACAGCTCCCGCTCCTGGCTCTGCTGTCCTGGGCCAGCTCAGGCTCCACCTAAAGCAAGAAGGTCACACAGGGCAGGAGCATCAGTCCCTGTGTGACCCACAAACCTGTTTCAACTTCATGTGATACTGGCTCCTCAAATCAACCAATGGCAATGGAAATGGAAATAAACTATCCCTACAAAGCCAATAGTGCAGGAAAATCAATAAGATCCAAGAGCTATCACAAACTCTCCTTCTGTATTTGCAGCTATTTCAGAAATAGCTTTAGAAGTACAATTTCTATTTAACTGTATATGATAAGAGGAAAACATCTTTTTATAAGTTTTCCACTGAGGTACTTAGGAGTCTTGCCTCTTATGCTCACACTAAATATATCAAAGCACTTTCAGAAAAGAGGTTTTTCCCTAGAAGCTTATAAGCCAAAGACCTCCTACCTTTCACAGTCTGCAAAACATATCCACCACAAAGGTACAGGGGAAAAGATGATTGAGGTAATACTAACAAGACAGTGGGAGGCTTGCGAGGTTAGAAGATCATAAGGAAGGTGTTGTCATACACAAGTAACTCAAAGAAGGAGATTCTTAAGGCAAACTTAAAGCAAACACCATTTATGGATGCCTGCAATGCTGGATCAGGTACAAATTTGTAGCGTTAGGAAAGTAAAAGCTTCCCAAACCAAATCTATTTCCCCATCTTTTAAAGTAAGTCTTGTGTAAAACACATATAGTGTTTGGACACATCAGAAAGAAAGAGAAAGTATTTAAATTTCTAACATGTTATGATCATTACTGGAAGTTTCTGGTGGGTACACTTAATTTTCCAGTCCAAACCTTCTTCAGAAACAACTTTATTCTCAGTCTGCTGAGAACAGTCTCAGATTAAGTTGCTGGGCAGGTCTACATATGCCTACCTAGAGAATACATGTGGGAAATTCTCCACGCCTAAGTTTACCACCATAACCTGCTTCGTTCCCCAGAAGCAGTGTTTGTGCTCCAGAAGTGTTACCTCAGCTCTGCCAAACTATTCCTTACAAGGTTGTGCTTCAGAGGATTTGAAAAAAGGTGAAAGCAGCACTTGTGCAGAGCCTTGGGAATCTGTGACAGTTCCTGCAATAAAACTCTGCTTTTTTTGAATTCTTAATCCTTTGCAGACATATGAACAAAAGTGAAGAGACTGATTTAAGGTTTGCAGTGTTCATTACCTTAACAGCAGAACAGGGGAAAGAAGAAAAAACAAACCCAAACCAGAAAAGTCAGAGACCATAGACTGAATTTTTTTTATATGAAGTGCAAATACCATCACTGAGCCACATATCAAGACACTGAAGCAAAATTTAAACATTTCCTCACATATTCAGTGTTCCAGGCCTTAAAATTCACATTTTAGGAACAGTCAATCCTCTCCGGGAATTTTTGCCTATTCTATTCCCCTCGCTATGTTTAGATCACAGCCTAGACACAAGAGTTTTATTTTTATTCTTATTCATTCATCTTGCAACCAATTCTCTTCCAGATCTAAAGCAACCACAGCAGCTCATGTTGAGTGATGAACAGTGTGCTTCCCTTGGCCTATTTTTTGAAAGGAAATAAGGACAGATAATAACAAAAGGCCATGAAACCAACCACTGCTTCTCTCCTTGCTGAAGATGGAGACCCTATGGCTATTCCAAGAGTGGTGTTTCTTCTGCCCTGTGGGAGGACAGAGCCAGTATTAAAGCACAGCCCAGAGCATTTATTACTCTCGAGCACTCTGCACCTCAAGAGTAACAAAAATGGGTCAAATCTGCCTTACGACAATTCTGTCACTCCTTAGTCTGTATTTACTCCCAGACTCCCTGTGCTGTGT